TCTGCTTCCTTCCTCCCACTTCCTTCCTCTCTCTCTCAGCCTTCCTTCCTCTCATCTTCCTTCCTTCCATCCTCCCTCTCATCCCCTTCCTTTCTCCCTTTCCTCCCTCCCATTCCGTCCTTCCTTCTACTCCCCTATTCCACGCGTTCCCCTTACTCTTTCTCCCTTCCTCCCTTCCTTCCTTCCTCCCTCTCCTCCTTCCTTCCCTCCCGCCCTTCCTTCCTTCCTTCATTCCTTCCTTCCGTCCTTCCCTTCCTTCCTTCCCTTGCCTCCTTCTGTCCTTCCTCCCTTCCTACCCCTTCCTCCTCCTTCCTTCCTTCCTCCCTTCCTTTCTACCTTCCTCCCGTCCGTCCTTCCTCCCTTCTTCCTTCCTTCCTTCCTCCCTCCCTTCCTTCCTCACCATCCCTTTCCTTCCTCCCTTCCCTTCCTCACTCCCTTCCTCCCTCCCTTCCTCTCCTTCCCTCCACCCTTCCTCCCTCTTCCTTCCCCTCCCCTCCCTTACCTACCTCTCTCCCTGTTCTTCCTCTCCTCCCTGCTTTCCTTCCTCTCTCCCTTCCCTTCCTCCCCTTCCTTCCTCCCTTCCTTCCTTCCCTCCCATCCCTTCCTTCCTGTCCTTTCCTTCCCTCCCTCTCCTTCCTTCCTCCCTCCCTTCCTTCCTTCCTTCCTTCCTTCCTTCCTCCCTCCCTCCCTTCCAGTTCCTCCCTCCCTTCCCCTCCCTTCCTGCCTCCCTTCCTCCCTCCTCTCCCTTCTCGCCCTTCCTTCCCTCCCCCTCCCTTTCCTTCCCTTCCTCCACCTCCCATCCCTCCCTTCCTCCCTTCCTCCTGGTCCCTCCCTTTCCTCCCATCCCCTTCCTCCCTTCCTCCCTCCCTCACTCTTCCTTCCTCTCGTCCCTTCCATTCCTCCCTTCCCTTCCTTCCTTCCTCCCTTCCTCCCTTCCCTTCCCTCTCCTTCTTCCTCCCGTCCGTCCTCTCTCCCCTTCCATCCCTCCCTTCCTTCCTCTCTCCCTTCCCCTTCCTCTCATCCCTTACATTCCTTCACCTCCTTTCTTCCTTCCCCTCCTTCCTTCCCTCTCTCCCTCCCTTCCTTCCTTCCTCTCGCCCTTCCTTCCTTCCCTCCCTTCCTCCCTTCCTTGCCTTCCTTTTCCTTCCTTCCTCCCTGCCTTCCTTCCTCCCATCCCTTCCTCCCTCCCGTCCCATCCTCCCGTCCTTCCTCCCTCCTTCCTATCCTCTCCTCCCTTCCTTCCTCGTCTCCCGCCTTCTCTCTCTCCCTTCCTTCATCCCTTCCTTCCTTCCCTTTCCTCCCATTCCCTTCCTTCCTCCCTCCACTCCCTCCTTCCTATCCTTTCCCTTCACTCCCTTACCTTCCTCACTCCCTTTCCTTCCTTCCTTCCTTCCTTCCTTCCCTCCTCCCTCCCTCCCTCCCTTCCTCTCCTCCCTCCCTTCACTTCCTCCCTTCCTCCCTCCCTTTCCTCCCTCCCGTCCCTAGCCTCCCTCCCGCGCCCGTCCCCTCCCCTCCCTCCCTCCCTCCCCTTCCTTTCCTTCCCTCCCTCCCTCCCTCCCGTCCCTCCCTTCCTCCGCCCTTCCTCCCTCCCTTCCTCTCCCGTCCTCGCCTTCCTTCCTCCTTCCCTTCCTATCCTCTTCTCCCTTCCATCCTCCCCTCCTTCCTCTCCTTCCTCCTTCCTCTCCTCTCTCGCATCCCTTCCTTCCTCTCTCCCTTCCTTCCTCCCTTCCTTCCTCTGCTCCCTTTGCCTTCCTCTCGTCACGTCCTTACTTTCCGTCCCTCCCCTGCCTCCTTCTTTCCCATCCTTCCTGTTCCTCTCTCCCTCCCTTCCTTCCTTTCCTCTCTCCACTCCTCCCTTCCCTACCCTTCCTTCCTTCCTTCCTTCCTTCCTCCCTCCCTTCCTTCCGCCCTTCCTTCCCGTCCCCTCCCGTCCTCCCTTCCCTTCCTCCCTCCCTCCCTCCCTCTGTCCTCCCTTCCTTCCTCCCTCCCATTCCGTCCTCCCTTCCTTCCTTCTCTCCCTTCCTTTCCTCCTCTCCCTTCCTTCCTTCCTCGCCGTCCCTTCCGTCCCACCGTCCCCTTTTTCTTCCTCTCTCCCTCCCTTCCTTCCTTCCTCTCTCCCTTCCTTCCTTCCCTCCCTTCCTCCCTTTCCTTCCCTTCCTTCCTTCCTCCCTTCCTGTCGCTCCTACCGCCCTTCCGTTCCTCCCTCCTCCCTTCCGTCACATCCTTCCTCCCCTCCCCTTCCTTCCTCTCGTGCCCTTCCTTCCTCTCTCCCTTCCTTCCTCTCTCTCCCTTACTTCCTCCCCTTCCTTCCTTCCTTCCTTCCTTCCCGTCCTTCCTCCCTCGCCCCACGTCGCTTCTTTTCTTCCTTTCCTCTCCCTCCCTTTTCCTTATCCTCTCCCACCCTCCCTTCCTTCCTTCCTTCCTTCCCTGTCTTCCTTCCTCCCCTCCCTCCCTCCCCTTCCTCCCTCCCTCCCTTCCTTCCTCCCCTTCCTCCCTCCCCTTCCTCCCTCCCTCCCTTCCCTCCCTCCGCTTCCCTTCCTCCCTCCCTCACCTCCCTTCCGTCCTTCCTCCCTCCCTCCCTCCCTCCCTTCCTCCCTCCCTTCTCTTTCCGCCCTTCCTCCCTCCCTTCCTTCCTCTCTACTCACCTTTCCTTCCTCCCTTTCCATCCTTCCTTCCTCCCTTCATCCCTCTCATCCCTTCCTTCCTCTCTCCCTTCCTCCTTCCACCCTTCCTTCCTCTTCTCCCCGTCGCTTCCTCTCTCCCTTGCTTCCTTCCCTCCCTCCCCTTTAATTCCTTCCTCCTTCCTTCCTCTCCTCCCTCCCTTCCTTTCCTTCCTCTCTCCACTCCTCCCTTCCTCCCTTCCTTTGCCTTCCTTCCTTCCTTCCGCCCTTCCTTCCCTTTCCTCCCCTTCCATCCTCCCCTCCTTCCTCCCTCTCCTTCCTCCCTTCCTCCCTCCCTCCCTCCCTTCCGTCCCTCCTAGCCCTTCCTTCCCTCTCTCCCTCTCCTTCCTTCTCTCCCGTCCGTCCTCACTCTCACTTTCCCTTCCTCCCTTCCTTCCTTCCGTCCGCCTCGCCTTCCTTCCTTCATCCTCCCTCTTCCTTCCTCCCTCCCTCCTTCCTTCCTTCCTTCCTCCCGTCCCTTTCCTTCGCTCACCTCCCTTCCTTCCTTCCTTCCTTCCTTTCCGTCCCTTCCTCCCGCCCTCCCTCCCTTCCTCGCCTCCCGCCCTCCCTCCCTATCCCTTCCTGCCTCCCTTCCTCCCTCCCTTCCTCCCTCCTTCCCTTCACTCACCTCGCCGCCCTTCCTTCCTCCCTCACCTTCCTCCCGTTCCTCTCCTCCCTTCCTCGCCTCCCTTCCTCCATTCCTCCGCCTCCCTTCCTCTCCCTTCCTTTCCTCCCTCCCTTCCTTCCCTCTCTCGCCTTCCTTCCTCCCTTCCTTCCTTCCATCCTCCCTTCCTCCCTTCGCTTCCTCTCTCCCTTCCATCCTCCGCTCCCTTCCTTCCTCCCCTTCCTTCCGCTCTCCCTTCCTTCCTCTCGCCTTCTCATTCCTTCTCCTTCCCTCCCTCCCGTCCTTCCCTCCTTACCTTCCTCTCTCCTCGCCTCTCCTTCCTTCCTCTCACTCGCTACGTCCCTTCCCTTCCTTCCTCCCGGTCCTCCCCTTCCTTCCTTCCTTCCTTCCTCCCTTCCTTTCCTTCCTCCCTTCCTTCCTTCCTCCCCTTTCTTTCCTTCCTCCCTTCCTTCATCTCTCTCGCACTTCCTTCCTCTCTTTCCTTCCTTCCTTCCTCCGCTCTCTCCCTTCCTTCCTCCCTTCCATTCCTCCCGTCCCTTCCTTGCCTCCCCTCCCTTCCTTCCTTCCTTTCTCCCTCCCCCCCTCCTTTCTCCCGTCCTCTTCTTTCTCCTTCCTCCCGTGCCTTCCCTTCCTATCCTCCCTTCCATCCTACCTTCCTCCCTCCGCTTCCTTCCTCCTTCCTCCCTCTCCTTCCTCCCTTCCTTCCTTCCTCCTCCCTTCCTTCCCTCTCGCCCTTCCGTCCTCCCTCCCTTGCCTTCCTCTCACCCTTCCTTCCTCTCTCCCTTCCTTCCGCTCGTCCTTCTCTCACCTTCCCTTCCTCCCTTCCTCCCTTCCTTCTCGCCTTCCCTCCTCCTTCCTTCCTTCCCTGCCCTCCCTTCCATCCTCTCCCTTCACTCCCGCCGCTTCCTTCCTCTCCCCTTCCTTCCTCCCTTCCCTCCCTCCCTTCCTTCTCCCTCCCTTCCTCCCTCCCTTCCTCCCGCTTCCTTCCTCCCTCTTCTTTCCTAGTCCCTCCCCTCCCGTCCTCCCTCCATTCCCTTCCTTTCCTCTCACTCCCTTCCTTTCCTCTCTCGCCATTCCTTCCTCCCTCTCCTTCCTTCCTCCCCTTCCTTCATCTCTCCCCTCCTTCCTCTCTTCCCTTCCTCTTCCTCCCTACCTTCCATTCCTTCCTTCTCTCCCTTCTCCATTCCTCCCTCCCCTTCCCATCCCTCCTCCCTTCCTCCTCTCCCTTCCCTTACCTTCCTTCCTCTCTCGTCTCCCTTCTCCTTCCTCCCTTCCTCCCTTCCATCCTTCCTTCCTTCCTCCGCTCCTTCCTTTCCTTCCTTCCTCCTCCTCTCCCACGCTCCTCCCTTCCTATCCTCTTCCTCTATCCTCTCTTTGTCCCCTTTCCTTTCCCTTCCTTCCCTTCCCTCCCTCAGGAAAAGGTGCATGCAGGTTAAGGGAGGGGAGTGCAGACATACAAGAGGATAATCACATTTGACAATAAAATCTCCATTTTTTTTTATACACCTTATGTTACACCCGTAACCGGGCCTCTGTGCTCTCTAAGCAATGCAGGCAGATCATGGCTGGTGGAAGGGGCTTACAGGGTGCTGTAGTGGAGGGGGTGTGAAAACCAGAGACAGTCCATGCTGGGGAGGACAGGGCTAGATGATGTTGGATGTCCCTCCAGCCAGGAAATGAGGCGGAGCTCTATCTGACCTGGCTGCAGCTTCTAATGCACATTGTCGAGAAGCTGCCAGTGTGCAGTTGACCATCAGAGGAAGCCAGGACAGGGAGGAGGCCAGTACAGCTGTGCAAGACTGGAGGGGAGGAGCCGGTACAAACCTGTACAGGACCTGGAGGGGAGGGGCCGGTACACCTGTGCAAGACTGAAGGGAGGTTTGAGCCGGTACACCTGTGCAAGACTGAAGGGGAGGAGCCGGTACACCTGTGCAAGACTGGAGGGGAGGAGCTGATACACCTGTGCAAGACTGAAGGGGAGGAGCCGGTACACCTGTGCAAGACTGGAGGGGAGGAGCCGGTACACCTGTGCAAGACTGGAGGGGAGGAGCCGGTACACTGTGCAAGACTGAAGGGGAGGAGCCTTGGTACACCTGTGCAACACTGAAGGGGGAGGAGCCGGTACACCACTGTTGAAGATTGAAGGGGAGGAGCCGATACAACTGTGCAAGACTGAAGGGGAGGAGGGCGGTACACCTTAGAAGGGGAGGCGGGAGGTTGGATACAAGGGGGAGGTGTTCTGTAGTCCAGCATAGGAATCCCGCACTCCTGGTGAGGATAGATATCATCAGGAAACCAGAATAAATGGATTTAGTGTGTTTCTGCAAACTGGATAAAACGCACTGAAATCGGCATAAGGCTAGGTTCACATCATTGCAGATTGTGCGATTTCACGGTCGCATTTTTTTGTGGTGCGTTATTGCAGTGTTTTTTCAACCTTTTTTGTGCAAAGGCACACTTTTTTCATGAAAAAAATCACGAGGGCACACCACCATTAGAAAATGTTAAAAAAATTTACCTCTGTGCCTATATTGACTATATATAAAGTAATTCTCTTGAATAGGAATCAAACACAAAGAAATTATTTTATAATTACTTTATTTGAAATAATAAAGTATTTTATAATTGGACCCAGGGCCCGGACCAAGAGTAGATGGAATGATGTGTATGTGTCATCCATAGTAAGTATAGTAATATTCCCCCCATAGTAAGCATAGTAATTAATCCCCCATATAGTAATTAATCCCCCATATAGTAATTCATCCCCCATAGTAATTCATCCCCCATATAGTAATTCATCCCCCATAGTAATTCATCCCCCTATAGTAATTATCATCTCCCCCCATATAGTAATTCATCCCCCATAGTAATTAATCCCCCCATATAGTAATTCATCCCCCATATAGTAATTCATTCATCCCCCATATAGTAATTCATCCCCCCATAGTAATTAATCCCCCCATATAGTAATTCATATCCCCCATAGTAATTCATCCCCCATATAGTAATTCATCCCCCATAGTAATTCACCCCCCATATAGTAATTCATCCCCCATATAGTAATTCATCCCCCATAGTAATTCATCCCCCATAGTAATTCATCCCCCCTATAGCAATTCATCCCCCATAGTAATTCATCCCCCATATAGTAATTCATCCCCCATAGTAATTCACCCCCATATAGTAATTCACCCCCCATATAGTAATTCATCCCCCATATAGTAATTCATCCCCCATAGTAATACATCCCCCATAGTAATTCATCCCCCATAGTAATGCATCCCCCATATAGTAATTCATCCCCCCTATAGTAATTCATTCCCCATATTAATTCATCCCCCCTATAGTAATTCATTCCCATATTAATTCATCCCCCATATTAAGTCCCCAAGCCCCCCCTGTGTCAATTCACTTTACCTTTGCGCCGCGCGTTCCTCTCGCCGTTCCGGTGTAGGTCTCCTATGAGGATCTGTCCCCCTCGAGAACATGCATTTTGAAACGTTTACGATGCGTTATGGTTTTTTTTTTTCCAATAGGAAAGCATTGGCTTTAATGCGATTTTGGGTGGGTGAGACTTTGATGCCTGAGAGTGTAAAGTCGCATCTCTGTTGCACCCATCCAAAGTGGCATTCGAGTCGCACTACATGAACAGAACTGTCATACTTTTCTATTAGCAACATAAAAACAAAACAGCAAAACGCATAAAAAACACAACACTTGCGTTTTTGGTGCGGTTTCATTAAAGTATATATCAAAAAAATTGCACCGACTCAAAACGCACAGATCTCTGCTAACTGGAAATCACACTGAAATCCACGAGGCTAGGTTCACCTCAATGCAGATTGCGGATTGTGCGATTTCACAGTGAGTTTTTGAACGTGCGTTTTGACGCGCTTGATGCATTTTGGGATTTTTTCTAGTAGGATAGTATTGACTTTGATGCCACTTTGGATGGATGCGACTTTGATGCGACTTGAGTGCCAGAGATTGTAAAGTCGCATCCAAGTTGCACTCATTCAAAGTCGCACTATGTGAACAGAACTCATACTATCCTATTAACAAAAAAAAACATAAAACGCATCAAAAAAGCAGTGCTTTGGTGCAGTTCCATCAAAATCTATTGCACAAAAAAACGCAGGAAAAAAAATCCCGACCCTTTAATAAAAATCGCAGCGACTCAGAGTGCACAGATATGAACTAGACCCCATTGGAAACCATAGGACTGGACTGCGTTTCTGCTAACTGGAAATCGCACTGAAATCTGCATGACGCTAGGTTCACCTCAATGCAGATTGTGCGACTTCGCAATGCGTTTTGTGGTGCGTTTTTCAACAAGCGTTTGGACACGATCTTGATGTGTTTTGCGTTTTTTTCCTAGTGTTGACTTTCATCTTTGGATGCGACTTTGGACTTTGAGTGGGACTTGGATGCAACAACTTTGGATGGGTTTGGATGGATGAGATGGGACTTGGATGCAACTTTGATGACGATGCAACTTTGATGCGACTTTGGATGGGTGGGACTTTTTGAATCAACTTGGATCACTTGGATGAACTTTGGATGGGTGGGATTTGGATGCAACATGCGACTTTGGAAGGGTGGGATTTGGATGACTTTGTGAATTTGGATGGGTGAGACTTGGATGCAACTTTGATGCGACTTTGGATGGGTGATGCGACTTGGGTGGATGCAACTTTGATGCGACTTTGGATGGGTGGGACTTGGATGCAACTTTGATGTGACTTTGGGATGGGTGGACTTGATGCAACTTTGATGCGACTTTGGGTGGATGGATGCAACTTTGGTTGGGTGGGACTTGGATGCAACTTTAGTGCCAGAGAGTGGAAAATGCACTGAAGTGCCCAGCCATACCGGTGCGATCTCAGGTGCGATTTGCGAGTTGAAATCACATCTAATGAATGTGAATGTCGGCGTCTTAACGTGCGATTTCTAAAGTCATTCTTGTGTGACTTTTTCTGCAGTTGATTGCGATTTCGCATACATAGAATATAATGGAAATCGCTCTGCAAATCGCAAGAAATCGTTGAAAATTTTCACAGGTAGCAATAAGTCCGCGGTCACATCGGGTGCGACTTGGCATGCGTTTTGCCATGCCATGTGACTTGCAAATCCTATGGTCCGCAATTACAGCAGTATAGTCGGGTGGTACACAGATGTCTATGAAGTCGCGCATGCACTACTTTACAGATCGGTGCGACTCCCACCAAGTCGAATCGCACCAATGTGACCGCTGTGATTGCGAAAAATAGGGTGTGGATTGCCATGCGATTTGAAAGCCGCATGCAAGTCGCAGCCAGCGTGACCGGGGACTTAAAGGGCTTCAGTGCGTTTCTGGGAACTGGAAAACCTACCGAAATCCGCATAAGTGCCCGGTCATCGCACCTGAAATCGCATCTAATGAAGGTGAATGTCGGGCGACTTTACACGTGCGATTTGCTGCGGTGTGATTTCTAAAGTCGTTCTTGCGTAACTTTTTCTGCCATTTTGTTGCGATTTCACCTCCATAGAATACAATGCAAATCGCATGAAATCAGTGAAAATCTTCACAAGAAGCAATAAGTCCCCCAGTCACACCAGATGCGACTTGGCATGTGATTTGCCATGCCATGCGACTTTCAAATCGCATGGCAAGTCGCACCTTATGGTCCGCAATTACTGCAATCATATCGGTGCGATTTCTAAAGTCGTTCTTGCGTGACGTTTTCTGCAGTTTTGTTGCGATTTCACCTCCATAGAATACAATGCAAATCGCAAGAAATCGTTGCAAATCTTCCCCAGTAGCAATAAGACCACGGTCACACCGACTGCAACTTGGCATGCGATTTGCTATGCCATGTGACTTGAAAATCGCATGGCAAGTTACCGACATTCACATTCATTAGATGCGATTTCAGCTGCGATTTCAATTGGCACCTAAGTCCCCGGTCACACCGCAGTGATTTAAAACTGGCGTTGTTCAGACGCCGACATTCGCATTCATTAGATGCGATTTCAGCTGCGATGACCGGGCACTTATGTGGATTTCGGTAGGTTTTCCAGTTCGCAGAAACGCTCTACAGCCCATTAAGTCCCCGGTCATGCTGGGTGCGATTTCCCATGCCATGCGACTTGCAAATCGCATGTCAAGTCGCAACCTATGGCCCGCAATTAGAGCGGTCCTATCAGTGCGATAGTCGGGTAGTACACTGCGGCGCGATTTCTAAAGTCGCTCTTGCGTGACTTTTTCTGCAGTTTTGTTGAATATAATGCAAATCGCACCGCAAGTCATTGAAAATCTTCACAAGTCGCAATCGCACCTGAAGTCGCTCTGAAATCGCACACAAATTGCGTGATTTTAAATCGCAGCGGTGCGCCCGGTGAAGTTATGTGAATGCCATGCGGTCCGGTCTGCATCCACAATTATCAGCGGTGTCATCGCCGACCACAAATTCTCCTCGCCATACCGCGGTGTCACCGGAGTTCCTCTGATCGCAGCGAGTGGGCGGGACTTTCTATAGAACTTGGGGGTGATGCGTAGGGCGCCCCTCCCCCCCCAGGTATTTGGAAGTCGCCCGCAGGCCATGGGGGGTACATCTGGGCCGTTCCCCATTAATGATCATCTCCCTCCTGACCACAGATGGAGGGGAGTTCTGGGAAGGAATGCGCCTGCAGATTCGGCTCCTTTGAAGTCGCATTGCGGCGGTGAGCGGGGGGGATTATGACGCTGGGTGCGTCATGGCCCAGGAATGTCGGGGTTAATCGCTGACCCTGGATTGGCTGGGTGACTCAGTGAGGAGGTGAGCAGGTTCCCACAGAGGTCCCACCACCTGAGAGGGAGAGAATGACGGCGCCCCCTATGGCCGATACCCCGCATCTCGCCTCCAATGTGCTGCCAAAGCCGCAGAGCATGCATGGAGTCGCCCGGACACGTCCTCATCCACAGGACCATTCAGAGACTGCAGACTGCGGACACAGTACACGAGATGACCATTCAGAGACTGCAGACTGCGGACACAGTACAGGAGATGACCAGAGACTGCGGACATAGTACAGGAGATGACCAGAGACTGCGGACACAGTACAGGAGATGACCAGAGACTGCAGACACAGTACAGGAGATGACCAGAGACTGCGGACACAGTACAGGAGATGACCAGAGACTGCGGACACAGTACAGGAGATGACCAGAGACTGCGGACATAGTACAGGAGATGACCAGAGACTGCAGACACAGTACAGGAGATGACCAGAGACTGCGGACACAGTACAGGAGATGACCAGAGACTGCGGACATAGTACAGGAGATGACCAGAGACTGCGGACATAGTACAGGAGATGACCAGAGACTGCGGACACAGTACAGGGGATGACCAGAGACTGCGGACATAGTACAGGAGATGACCAGAGACTGCGGACACAGTACAGGAGATGACCAGAGACTGCAGACACAGTACAGGAGATGACCAGAGACTGCGGACACAGTACAGGAGATGACCAGAGACTGCGGACATAGTACAGGAGATGACCAGAGACTGCACGGACATAGTACAGGAGATGACCAGAGACTGCGGACAGTACAGGAGATGACCAGAGACTGCAGACACAGTACAGGAGATGACCAGAGACTGCGGACACAGTACAGGAGATGACCAGAGACTGCGGACATAGTACAGGGGATGACCAGAGACTGCGGACACAGTACAGGAGATGACCAGAGACTGCAGACATAGTACAGGAGATGACCAGAGACTGCGGACACAGTACAGGAGATGACCAGAGACTGCGGACATAGTACAGGAGATGACCAGAGACTGCAGACACAGTACAGGAGATGACCAGAGACTGCAGACATAGTACAGGAGATGACCAGAGACTGCAGACATAGTACAGGAGATGGACCGGAGACTGCGGACATAGTACAGGAGATGACCGGAGACTGCGGACACAGTACAGGAGATGACCAGAGACTGCGGACACAGTACAGGAGATGACCAGAGACTGCGGACACAGTACAGGAGATGACCAGAGACTGCGGACACAGTACAGGAGATGACCAGAGACTGCGGACACAGTACAGGAGATGACCAGAGACTGCGGACACAGTACAGGAGATGACCAGAGACTGCGGACACAGTACAGGAGATGACCAGAGACTGCGGACATAGTACAGGAGATGACCAGAGACTGCGGACATAGTACAGGAGATGACCAGAGACTGCGGACCAGTACAGGAGATGACCAGAGACTGCGGACATAGTACAGGAGATGACCAGAGACTGCGGACACAGTACAGGAGATGACCAGAGACTGCGGACACAGTACAGGAGATGACCAGAGACTGCGGACACAGTACAGGAGATGACCAGAGACTGCGGACACAGTACAGGAGATGACCAGAGACTGCGGACACAGTACAGTACAGGAGATGACCAGAGACTGCGGACACAGTACAGGAGATGAGACCAGAGACTGGGACTGCAGTACAGGAGATGACCAGAGACTGCACAGTACAGGAGATGCAGAACTGCAGACATAGTACATCAGTCAGACTGCAGACACTAGGAATACTTCGGACACAGCAGGAGTTCTCTGGACTGATGGCAGCGCTGAACCCAGTCACTAGAATATTCCGCGAAAGGCTTTGCCACAAGGCTTTTGGAGATCAGGGGGGCGCGGGGGGAGGGGGGGGGGCGGTATGGGGTGCGGGGGGGGGGGGGGGGGGGGGGGGGCGGGGAGGTCGATCTTCCGTTTAGGACGAGTTCTGCCTGTGAGGTGGAAATCACATCAATAAATAGCGTCTAGACGAAGATTTATAGGAACACGGAGAACAATGGCGAGCCGGCCGGGATATTATTCCTGCATTTAATGAGCGTGCTTGGCTCAGATCCGACCAATCGGTGCCCAGAGACTGACAGCGCCGGCCAAAGCCATCAAATCCTTCTCTGTCTTCACTTTCCATCCACAAGGAGCCCAACTGGACCCTGGGAGAGGCCATGGAAAATCCCCATATTAACCCTGAAGTCCCAGTGATGACAGGCTGGCTCCCAGCTCCTAAGTAGGCATAACAGTATGAGGGGTTCCCACCATCCCTGTGCTGAGTTCCCGGGTCTGTACACCCGCTGTGCCCATTATGAGGGGTTCCCACCATCCCTGTGCTGAGTTCCGGGTCTGTACGCCCGCTGTACCCATAATGAGGGGTTCCCACCATCCCTGTGCTGAGTTCCCGGGTCTGTACGCCTGCTGTGCCCATTATGAGGGGTTTCCACCATCCCTGTGCTGAGTTCCCGGGTCTGTACGCCCCGCTGTGCCCATTATGAGGGGTTCCCACCATCCCTGTGCTGAGTTCCCGGGTCTGTACGCCCGCTGTGCCCATTATGAGGGGTTCCCACCATCCCTGTGCTGAGTTCCTGGGTCTGTACGCCCCGCTGTGCCCATTATGAGGGGTTCCCACCATCCCTGTGCTGAGTTCCCGGGTCCGGGTCATTATGAGGGGTTCCCACCATCCCTGTGTAGTTCCCGGGTCTGTACGCCCGCTGTGCCCATTATGAGGGGTTTCCACCATCCCTGTGCTGAGTTCCCGGGTCTGTACGCCCGCTGTGCCCATTATGAGGGGTTCCCACCATCCCTGTGCTGAGTTCCCGGGTCTGTACACCTATTGTGCCCATTATGAGGGGTTCCCAACATCCCTGTGCTGAGTTCCTAGGTTGGTACCCCCACTATGCCCATTATGACCAATCCTATCATTTATATTCTAGCTGTCAGTGGTATAAATGACATTGAAGATTTGGGCTTCATGCGTGTAGCGTGTTCGGAGCATACATCCATGCACATGTGGGGGCCCCTGGTGCACTCTAATGCGTGATGGCTGTACGCAGCAGGAAGCGGTCCTGGAACGTTGGTACGCGGGTTCTGTGGAACGTCTTTCATTGGTCCCCGGTGTCACACTGTGTACTGTCTGTGTATGATAATGAGGCCACGCCTCTTCCTGTGACCCCTTCTTCCCTTCATTGGTCCCCGGTGTCACACTGTGTACTGTGTATGATAATGAGGCCACGCCTCTTCCTGTGACCCCTTCTTCCCTTCATTGGTTCCTGGTGTCACACTGTGTACTGTCTGTGTATGATAATGAGGCCACGCCTCTTCCTGTGACCCCTTCTTCTTCCCTTCATTGGTCCCCGGTGTCACACTGTGTACTGTGTATGATAATGAGGCCACGCCTCTTCCTGTGACCCCTTCTTCCCTTCATTGGTTCCTGGTGTCACACTGTGTACTGTTTGTGTATGATAATGAGGCCACGCCTCTTCCTGTGACCCCTTCTTCCCTTCATTGGTCCCCCGGTGTCACACTGTGTACTGTGTATGATAATGAGGCCACGCCTCTTCCTGTGACCCCTTCTTCCCCTTCATTGGTTCCTGGTGTCACACTGTGTACTGTTTGTGTATGATAATGAGGCCACGCCTCTTCCTGTGACCCCTTCTTCCCTTCATTGGTCCCCATTGGGTGTCACACTGTGTACTGTGTATGATAATGAGGCCACGCCTCTTCCTGTGACCCCTTCTTCCCTTCATTGGTTCCTGGTGTCACACTGTGTACTGTCTGTGTATGATAATGAGGCCACGCCTCTTCCTGTGACCCCTTCTTCCCTTCATTGGTCCCCGGTGTCACACTGTGTACTGTGTATGATAATGAGGCCACGCCTCTTCCTGTGACCCCTTCTTCCCTTCATTGGTTCCTGGTGTCACACTGTGTACTGTTTGTGTATGATAATGAGGCCACGCCTCTTCCTGTGACCCCCTTCTTCCCTTCATTGGTCCCCGGTGTCACACTGTGTACTGTGTATGATAATGAGGCCACGCCTCTTCCTGTGACCCCTTCTTCCCTTCATTGGTTCCTGGTGTCACACTGTGTACTGTTTGTGTATGATAATGAGGCCACGCCTCTTCCTGTGACCCCTTCTTCCCTTCATTGGTCCCCGGTGTCACACTGTGTACTGTGTATGATAATGAGGCCACGCCTCTTCCTGTGACCCCTTCTTCCCTTCATTGGTTCCTGGTGTCACACTGTGTACTGTTTGTGTATGATAATGAGGCCACGCCTCTTCCTGTGACCCCCTTCCCTTCATTGGTCCCCGGTGTCACACTGTGTACTGTTTGTTTATGATAATGAGGAACGCCTCTTCCTGTGACCCCTTCCCTTCATTGGTCCCCGGTGTCACACTGTGTACTGTTCCTTTAACATGAAGCCACTGATACGTAGAGTCATCGCTGTCTGTATATCATGTGACCCTGACACCTCTCACTGTGGCCCCTCTTTCCTTCCAGGGGGCCGGAGACAGCTTTATTGGGGCGTTGGCCTTCTACCTCGCCCAGGATCCTCATCTCAGCATCGAAGAAATGGTGAAGAGGTCAAACCACATTGCGTCAGTGAGCGTCCAGTCCGCAGGAACGCAGACATCCTATCCGTCCAGGAAGGACCTTCCTCAGGATATCTTCTAGAGGAAACCGTCGTCTCTTCTCCACGCCGACTCGGAAAATGGACTTGTTCCTCTTTGGTAACCTGAGACGACCCCTTCTGAACGCCCACACACAGGCCGGGTTCAAACAAGTGAGCGTCCAAAATGGTTTAAAAATGACAATCGTGTGACTTAAAATAAAAATGAACGGAACCTATAATGTAGTAGCTTTCTTCTTACTGGAGGTGATTATGACGTTCTTCTGTAGTAGGGGCCATATAGAGGAAGGTTGGTGGACACCTGACCATCACACCTTCATGGTGGACATCCCATTGCAAACCATGGCTTCTAATATGGAGCTGTCCCCCTCCCATGGCCATTAATATGGAGCTGTCCCCCTCCCATGGCTTCTAATATGGAGCTGTCCCCCTCCCATGGCCATTAATATGGAGCTGTCCCCCTCCCATGGCCATTAATATGGAGCTGTCCCCCTCCCATGGTCATTAATATGGAGTTGCCCAATCTCACCCCATTGGCCTTCAATATGAAGTTGCCTACACTTCCCCGATGATCATTGGAGTTTCCCACCTTCCCCCCCATTGACCATTAATATGGAGTTGCCCAATCTCCCCCCATTGGCTATCAATATGGAGATGCCTACACTTCCCTCATGGTCATTGAAGTTTCCCACCTTCCCCCTATTGACCATTAATATGGAGTTGCCCAATTTTCCCCCATTGGCCATCAATATGGAGTTGCCTACACTTCCCCCATGGTCATTGGAGTTTCCCACCTTCCCCCCATTGGCCATTAATATGGAGTTGCCCAATCTCCCCCCCATTGGCTATCAATATGGAGATGCCTACACTTCCCCCATGGTCATTGAAGTTTTCCACCTTTCCCCATTGGCCATCAAAATGGAGTTGCCCAATTTTCCCCCCACTGGCCACCAATATGGAGTTGCCTACACTTCCCCCCCATGGACATTGGAGTTTCCCACCTTCCCCCCACTGACCATCAATATGAAGTTGCCTACACTTCCCCCATGGTCATTGGAGTTTCCCACCTTCCCCCCATTGCCCATTAATATGGAGTTGCCCACCTTCCCCCCATTGGTCATTAATACAGGGTTGCCCTATTTCCCTCCATTTGCCATCAATATGGCGTTGCCTACACTTCCCCCTTGGTCATTTGAGTTTCCCACCTTCCCCCCATTGGCCATTAATATGGAGTTGCACAATCTCCCCCCATTGGCCATCAATATGGAGTTGCCCAATCTCCCCCCATTGACCATCAATATGGAGTTGCCCACACTTCCCCCATGGTCATTGGAGTTGCCCACACTTCCCCCGAGGCCATTAACATGGAGTTAGATAAGAAGACCTTGCCTACAATTGGCATCCAATCCATCCCAAAGGTGTTCAGTGGGGTTGAGGTCAGGACTCTTGAGTTTCTCCACTCTTCTGGGAAGACTTTCTACAATGATGTTGGATGAGAAGAACTGGTTTGCCTGTTAGGCCTCACGTTGGGCGCCAAATAAAAAAAAAAAAAAAAAAAAAGACTTGGCTTGCAGTCAGTCTTTCAATTCATCCCAAACGCATTCACTATGGTTAAGGACAGGTACTGATGTTGTATGAGAAGATCTGGCTCGAAATCGAAGTTCCAATTCACCCCAAAGGTATTGATTTAGGTCAGGGCTCTGTGCAGGACACTCAGGTTTCTCCACACCAAACTGGTCAAACCATGTCTTTGTGGAGCTGGGTCCACTCTTCTACGAAGGCTTCCCAAAATATTTTGGAGTGTGTCTGTTGGGATTTGTGTCCATTCAGCCAAAAGAACATTGGGGAGGTCAGGTATCAATGTTCATCCAAAGGTGTTTAGTAGGGCTGAGGTCAGGGCTCTCGAGTTCCTGTTCTGGTGAGGTTTTCTAGATCTTGAAGATTGACTGGGAATTTTTATGCATTCGTTAGGTTGAGTACCGATGTTGGATGAGAAGACTTGGCTCACGAAGCTGATGAGGTCGGAGCTCTGAAGGCCACTCAAGTTCCTCCACACCAAACTCATCATCCATGTCTTCAAGGAGATGTTGGGTGGGAGGACCTGGCTCACTCTAATTCATCCCAAAGGTTTTCATTAGGGTTGAGGTCAGGGCTCTGTGCAGGACACTCACGTTTCTCCACACCAAACTGGTCAAACCATGTCTTTATGGAGCTGGGACCACTCTTCTGGGAAGGCTTCCCAAAATCTTTTGGAGTGTGTCTGTTGGGATTTGCATCCATTCAGCCAAAAGAACATTGGGGAGGTCAGGTATCAATGTTCTTCCAAAGGTGTTTAGTAGGGCTGAGGTCAGGGCTCTTCAATTCCTCTACTGTTCTGGTGAGGTTGTCTTCCAGTTTACAGTCCTTCAAGCCCGGGACCTGCTGATCAGCTGTTTTCAATCACAGCCCAGAGCTCTGTGTTGACAAACAACACACAGCTCTGCACAGAGGGATCGATCCCTGTGTTTCTCATCCCTGCAAAGCAGGGATTAGAAACGTAGAGATCTGTCAGTAAAATCAGCACACATTACATTATTAGGCACACAGTTAACCCCTTCCCATCCGGTGTCATTAGTACAGTGTATAGTATTGTCACTGGTGATGTCAGTTAGTCAGTTCCCCCCAGCATCAGTTAGTGTCAGACTGCCCGCCACACTATCACAGTCCCATTTTAATTTGCTGATCACCATTAGTAAAAAAAAAAAAAAATTCATATATACAAACACAAACACACACTGCATGCTGAAATGCGTTTTTTTATATATTACAAAATATATGAAAAGTATTTTCAAAAACATATTTGTTAAATATATTCTTTAGATTTTTATAACATATAAAAAAGTAATTTTAAAATATATTTTTACATATATCTGTAAATGCATTCCAAAAATACAGATTTGTATTTTTAAAGACATGCAGTATATTTGAAATGTATGTTTAAAAATGTTTTCATATATATACACACACACTCGGTGAAGGAAATGCGTATTTGCTCCCCCCTGATGCTGAATGTTCGCCCCTCACACAGAAATGATCGGTCTAACAATGGAATGTTCGCCCCTCACACAGAAACGATCGGTCTAACAACGGAATGTTCGCCCCTCACACAGAAACGATCGGTCTAACAATGGAATGTTCGCCCCTCACACAGAAACGATCGGTCTAACAATGGAATGTTCGCCCCTCACACAGAAATGATCGGTCTAACAATGGAATGTTTCGCCCCTCACACAGAAACGATCGGTCTAACAATGGAATGTTCGCCCCTCACACAGAAACGATCGGTCTAACAATGGAATGTTCGCCCCTCACACAGAAATGATCGGTCTAACAATGGAATGTTCGGTGTAACACTGAGAGACAGAATACAACAACAAATTCAGCAGAAATGCGTCTAACAAATGATGACGGATCTGCATGTTCATGAGGGAAAGAAGGATTGGATCCCCTTCACAAAACATGACTTAGTACTTGGTGGCCAATCCCTTGTTGGCAATCACAGAGGTCAGATGTTTCCTGGAGTTGGCCCCCAGGTTCGCACACATCTCAGGAGGGATTTTGGCCCACTACTCTTGGCAGATCCTCTCCAAGTCATTAAGGTTTGGTGGACTGATGTTTGGCAACTCGAACTTTCAGCTCCCTCCACAGATTTTCAATCGGATGAAGGTCTGGAGACTGGCTAGGCCACTCCAGGACCTTAATGTGCTTCTTCTTGAGCCGCTCCTTTGTTGCCTTGGCCGTGTGTTTTGGGTCATTGTCATGCTGGAACACCCATCCACGACCCATTTTCAATGCCCTGGCTGAGGGAAGAAGGTTCTCACCAAGATTTGAGGGTACATTGCCCCGTCCATCGTCCCTTTGATGCGGTGCAGTTGTCCTGTCCCCTTAGCACAAAAACACCCCCAAAGCAGAATGTTTCCACCACCATGTTTCACAGTTGGGATGGTGTTCTTGGGGTCATAGGCAGCATTCCTCCTCCTCCAAACACGGCGAGTTGAGTTGATGCCAAAGAGCTGGATTTTGGTCTCCTCTGACCACAACACTTCCCACCAGTCCTCCTCGGCATCATTCAGATGTTCAGTGGCAGACTTCAGACGGGCCTGGACATGGCTTTCTTGAGCAGAGGGACCTTGCGGGCACTGCAGGATTTCAGTCCTTGTCGGCGTAGTGTGTTACCAATTGTTTTCTTGGTGACTGTGGTCCCAGCTGCCTGGAGATCATTGACAAGATCCTCACGTGTAGTTCTGGGATGATTCCTCACTGTTCTCTTGATCATTGACACTCCACGAGGTGAGATCTTGCATGGTGCACCAGACCTAGGGAGACTGACACTTGTTTTGTGTTTCTTCCATTTGTGAATGATTGCACCAACTGTTGTCACCTTCTCACCAAGCTGCTTGGCCATAGTTTGGTAGCCCAGTCCAGCCTTGTGTAGGTCTACCATCTTGTCCCTGACATCCTTGGACAGCTCTTTGGTCTTTGCCATGGTGGAGAGTTTGGAATCTGATGGTTTGATGGCTCCTGTGGACAGGTGTCTTTTATACAGGTAACACAATGAGATTAGCAGCACTCCCTTTAAGAGACTGCTTCTAATCTCAGCTTGTTACCTGTATGAAGACACCTGGGAGCCAGAAATCCTGCTGAATGATAGGGGATTAAATCCTTCTTTCCCTCATGAACATGCAGATCCGTCATCATTTGTTAGACGCATTTCTGCTGAATTTGTTGTTGTATTCTGTCTCTCAGTGTTACACGAACATTCCATTGTTAGACCGATCATTTCGAACATTCCATTGTTAGACCGATCATTTCTGTGTGAGGGGCGAACATTCCATTGTTAGACCGATCGTTTCTGTGTGATCGAACATTCATTGTTGTGTGAGGGGCGAACATTCCATTGTTAGACCGATCATTTCTGTGTGAGGGGCGAACACATTAGACCGATCATTTCTGTGTTAGGGGCGAACTTCCATCGATCGTTTCTGTGTGAGGGGGGAACATTCCATTGTTAGACCGATCGTTTCTGTGTGAGGGGCCAACATTCCATTGTTAGACCGATCATTTCTGTGTGAGGGGCTAACATTCCATTGTTAGACCGATCATTTCTGTGTGAGGGGGGAACATTCAAAATAAGCCAGGGAGCAAATACGCATTTCCTGCACTGTGTATATATATATATATATATATTTGCACATTTTTGGAATGCATTTACAAATATATGTAAAAATATGTTAAACATTTTTTAAAGTATATTTAAAAATATTTTTACACAGACACTGTATATATATATATATATATTTATTGAAATATATTTTAAAATATATTGAATACGGCCAAAATGGTAGCATTTCAAATATATGTCAATATATTTGGGAAGAATATTTGTAAACTATATTTCCAATGTATTGGGATTTTTTTTTTTAGCAAAGACATGGAGCAGAATACATTTTGGCCTAAATTTATAAAGAAATTTTATTTTTTTACTGGATATGTTTTATAGTCAAAAATATATATATATATATTTTTTTTTTAAATTGTCGGTCTTTTTGTTTATAGAGCGCAAAAAATATCAAATGCCACCAAAAGAAAGCTCTATTTCTGTGGGGAAAAAAACAAAATGACATAAATTTATTTATGTACAACGTGACCGCGCAATTGTCAGTTAAAGTAACCCAGCGCCGTATCACAAAAAATGGCCGGGTCAGGAAATGGGGGTATCTGTGCTGTTTATATACACAGAGGTGTGGGGAACATGTCATGTCGGCTTCCAAGCCCATCATGTGTCTCCATACATTACACTCAGGGAGAGATCTCTGCAAACAATGAGAAAAATTATTTTTATTGGTGTAAAAAAAAAAAAAAAAAATTCCAAGAAGAGCGTCAGCCAACATAAATAAGGGAGAACCTTGGGAGGAAAGTCTGCTCTCCGTAGATCCGTTCGCTGGACGCGGCAGGAAGATGGCGAGATGGGCTGATGGCGGAGGAGATAGATTGGCTGTCTGCCCTCTCCATTGTTCTGCGTAGATCAGTCCCGGGTCCTCGATACCAGCGTCATCCTCTCCCTCCACCCCGGACAGCGCCCATGTGATCCGAGTGACACCAGGAATTATATGGATCGGACTTTCTTCTTCTCCAAGAACAGAACATGCTGCTTCACTGAGACAAAGGAAATCAGACAACTGGGTGTTAGTACAGAACTCCTCCTGCGATGGGCTCAGCACAGTGACATGGGTGCATTAGGAGAATAATCATGGGCTGGCGGGGGTTCATAATCTGAGCGACACCTCCCCCGTGATATATACATTCAGAAAGTATTCACACCCCCGTCACTGTTTTCAATGTTATGTTGCAGCCTGGCAAAGGCGAATGCACACGTGAGTCCCGCACGCAGGCAAACAGCGATCGTATCACCGCCAAGCATCAGATCACGGGCAGCCATTCTAGCAGCAGATCTCCTCTCCTCCCCCCTCTCCTTCCCCCGCCTTCCCTCTCCTTCCCCAGGTTGTCGCCTTCCCTCTCCCTTCCCCAGGTTGTCGCCTTCCCTCTCCCTTCCCCAGGTTGTCGCCTTCCCTCTCCCTTCCCCAGGTTGTCGCCTTCCCTCCCCTTCCCCAGGTTGTCGCCTTCCCTCTCCCTTCCCCAGGTTGTCGCCTTCCCTCCCCCCCTTCCCCAGGTTGTCGCCTTCCCTCTCCCTTCCCCAGGTTGTCGCCTTCCCTCTCCCTTCCCCAGGTTGTCGCCTTCCCTCTCCCTTCCCCAGGTTGTGTCCTTCCCCAGGTTGTCGCCTTCCCTCTCCCTTCCCCAGGTTGTCGCCTTCCCTCTCCCTTCCCCAGGTTGTCGCCTTCCCTCTCCCTTCCCCAGGTTGTCGCCTTCCCTCTCCCTTCCCCAGGTTGTCGCCTTCCCTCCCCCTTCCCCAGGTTGTCGCCTTCCCTCTCCCTTTCTCCTTCCCTTTATCGTTGTTTGTCACCATTGCACAGGCAGACGATATTTTAAAATGTGACATGTAATGTATTGTGGGGGGGGTTTTGCATTAAAATTCCAAAAAAGTGTATTCTTTTCTCCCCAAAAAAATGCATTTGAAAAACCGCAGTGCAAAAACCATGTGATAAAAAAATTGCTCTCCTTCCCCAGGTTGTCACTTTCCCTTCCCCCTCTCTTCCCCAGGTTGTCACCTTCCCTCCCCACTCCTTCCCTTCCCCCCACTTCTTCCCCAGGTTGTCACCTTCCCTCCCCCCCCCTCTTCCCCGGTTTCACCTTCCCTTCCCCCTCTTTTCCCCAGGTGGTCACCTTCCCTTTCCCCCTCTTTTTCCCCAGGTGGTCACCTTCCCCCTCTTTTCCCCAGGTGGTCACCTTCCCTTCCCCCTCTCTTACCCAGGTTGTCACCTTCCCTTCCCCCACCTTCTCCCCTTTCTTACCCAGGTTGTCACCTTCCCTTCCCCCTCCCTTCCCCAGGTTGTCACCTTCCCTTCCCCTCTCTTCCCCAGGTTGTCACCTTCCCTTCCCTTCCCCAGTTTGTCACCTTCCCTTCCCCCTCTCTTCCCCAGGTTTGTCACCTTCCCTTCCCCCTCTCTTCCCCAGGTTGTCACCTTCCCTTCCCCTTCTCTTCCCCAGGTTGTCACCTTCCCTTCCCCCTCTCTTCCCAAGTTTGTCACCTTCCCTTCCCCCTCTCTTCCCAGTTTGTCACCTTCCCTTCCCCCTCTTTTCCCCAGGTTGTCACCTTCCCTTCCCCTTCTCTTCCCCAGGTTGTCACCTTCCCTTCCCCCTCTCTTCCCAAGTTTGTCACCTTCCCTTCCCCCTCTCTTCCCAAGTTTGTCACCTTCCCTTCCCCCTCTCTTCCCCAGGTTGTCACCTTCCCTTCCCTTTCCTTCCCCAGGTTGTCACCTTCCCTTCCCCCTCTCTTCCCAAGTTTGTCACCTTCCCTTCCCCTCTCTTCCCCAGGTTGTCACCTTCCCTTCCCCAGGCTCTCTTCACCTTCCCTTCCCCTTCTCTTCCCCAGGTTGTCACCTTCCCTTCCCCCTCTCTTCCCAAGTTTGTCACCTTCCCTTCCCCCTGTCTTCCCCTCACCTTCCCCCAGGTTGTCACCTTCCCTTCCCCCTCTTTTCCCCAGGTTGTCACCTTCCCTTCCCCCTCTCTTCCCCAGGTTGTCACCTTCCCTTCCCCCTCTCTTCCCAAGTTTGTCACCTTCCCTTCCCCTTCTTTTCCCCAGGTTGTCACCTTCCCTTCCCCCTCTTTTCCCCAGTTTGTCACCTTCCCTTCCCCTTCTCTTTCCCCAGGTTGTCACCTTCCCTTCCCCCTCTCTTCCCAAGGTTGTCACCTTCCCTTCCCCCTCTTTTCCCCAGGTTGTCACCTTCCCTTCCCCCTTCTCTTCCCCAGTTTGTCACCTTCCCTTCCCCCTCTCTTCCCAAGTTTGTCACCTTCCCTTCCCCCTCTTTTCCTCAGGTTGTCACCTTCCCTCCCTAGAAATGGTTCCTGTATTGTGTTTTTTTGCAAAAAATTAAAAAAAAGTGTATTCTTTTTGCCCCCAAAAAATGCATTTGAAAAACTGCAGTGCAAAAACCAAAAAATTGCAGCACCCACCAATTTATTCTCTGGGGCCTCTGCTTTATAAAAAAATGTATCATGTTTGGGGGTTCTAAAAAATGTTCTAGCAAACAAATACTGATTGTGACACGGAAACAAAAAATGCCAGAAAAGGGCGGGGCCTCTCCGAGCGGCTTATTTAATATCTCCAGGAACAGGAGGTGAGGGGAAATCTTCCAATGGGGACACTTGTTTCAGGGTCCGGGGGGGGGGGGGGGGGGGGGGGGGGGGGGGGGGGGGGGTCGGTTCTTTGGAGAGATTTGTTCTCACTTCCTGTTGGGTCTCTGGGATTGGAATTGTTGGGAAATCTTCCAAAGAGACACCAAAAACTAACCTGACGACATCTTCATCCTATTCATAGTCCATCCAACACTTCACATAGAAACACGCTTGTCCGTCACTGACCCCGAGCATGCATGTGGATCAGCAGCTCTCATTTCACTGGCTGCATGCTTGTTCCAGGTCAGTGGCTGAGTAGGTAGTAAAGTCAGGGCTGGTATGGACAGCCATAGAGAGGAGTCGGCCGTCTAGATTGGACAGACCGGCTCTTGTTATATATATGGGGGGGATATCTCCCGTGTGAAATCTTACCTACGGGGTCGTACTTTCTGAGGATAAGTTTGTCCTTCAGTCTGTTCCTCCTGGTGTTGAAGCAGTAGCCGGTCCCCCGCCGCACTCATCATCTGGACCAGGACAACCCTGACACCGAAACAAGATGGAGGCAGTTATAAAGTGTACCTGTCGCCTACAAGAATCCAGATTCACCATAGGCACCTCCTTCCCTCCCACCTCTTTTCCCAGGTTGTCACCTTCCCTTCCCCCTCTCTTCCCTAGGTTGTCACCTTCCCTTCCCCCTCTCCTTCCCCAGGTTGTCACCTTCCTCCCCACTCCTTCCATAGGTTTTCATCTTCCCTCCCCACTCCTTCCCCAGGTTGTCACCTTCCCTTCCCCCTCTCTTCCCAGGTTGTCACCTTCCCTTCCCCTCTCTTCCCCAGGTTGTCACCTTCCCCCTCTCTTCCCCAGGTTGTCACCTTCCCTTCCCCAGGTTGTCACCTTCCCTCCCCACTCCTTCCCTAGGTTGCACCTTCCCCTTCCCCCTCTCTTCCCCAGGTTGTCACCTTCCCTTCCCCCTCTCTTCCTCAGGTTGTCACCTTCCCTTCCCCCTCTTCCCCAGGTTGTCACCTTCCCCCTCTCTTCCCCAGGTTGTCACCTTCCCTTCCCCAGGTTGTCACCTTCCCTCCCCACTCCTTCCCTAGGTTGCACCTTCCCTTCCCCCTCTCCTTCCCCAGGCTGTCACCTTCCCTTCTTCCCCCTCTCCTTCCTCAGGATGTCACCTTCCCTTCCCCCTCTCCTTCCCCAGGCTGTCACCTTCCCTTCCCCCTCTCCTTCCCCAGGCTGTCACCTTCCCTTCCCCCTCCCCCTCTCTTCCCCAAGCTGTCACCTTCCCTTCCCCCTCTCCTTCCCCAGGCTGTCACCTTCCCTTCCCCCTCTCTTCCCCAAGCTGTCACCTTCCCTTCCCCCTCTCCTTCCCCAGGCTGTCACCTTCCCTTCCCCCTCTCTTCCCCAAGCTGTCACCTTCCCTTCCCCCTCTCCTTCCCCAGGCTGTCACCTTCCCTTCCCCCTCTCTTCCCCAAGCTGTCACCTTCCCTTCCCCCTCTCCTTCCCCAGGCTGTCACCTTCCCTCCCCCCTCTCCTTCCCCAGGCTGTCACCTTCCCTTCTCCCTCTCTTCCCCAGGCTGTCACCTTCCCTTCTCCCTCTCTTCCCCAGGCTGTCACCTTCCCTTCTCCCTCTCTTCCCTAGGTTCTCACCTTCCCCCTCTTTTCCAGGTTGTCACCTCCCATTTCCCCCTCTCTTTTCCCAGGTTGTCACCTTCCTTCCCCCTTCTCCCAGGTTGCCACCTTCCCTCACCCCCCTCCCCTCTTTCCCAGATTGCCACCTTCACTCCCCACTTCTTCCCTAGGTTCTCACCTTCCCCCTCTTTTCCAGGCTGTCACCTTCCCTTCCCCCTCTCCTTCCCCAGATTGTCACCTCCCCTTCCCCCCTCTCCTTCCCCAGGTTGTCACCTCCCTCTCCTTCTCTTCCCCAGGTTGTCACCTCCCCTCCCCCCTCTTCCCCAGGTTGTCACCTCCCTTCCCCCCTCTTTCCCCAGGTTGTCACCTCCCTTCCCCCAGGTTGTCACCTCCCTTCCCCCCACTTCCCCAGGTTGTCACCTCCCTTCCCCCCTCTTTCCCCAGGTTGTCACCTCCCCTCCCCCTCTTTCCCCAGGTTGTCACCTCCCTTCCCCCAGGTTGTCACCTCCCTTCCCCCCTCTTTCCCCAGGTTGTCACCTCCCTTCCCCCCTCTTTCCCAGGTTGTCACCTCCCCTCCCCCCTCTTTCCCCAGGTTGTCACCTCCCTTCCCCCAGGTTGTCACCCTCCCTTCCCCCCTCATCCTTTCCCCAGGTTGTCACCTCCCTTCCCCCCTCTTTCCCCAGGTTGTCACCTCCCCTCCCCCCTCTTTCCCCAGGTTGTCACCTTCCCCCTCTTTTCCAGGTTGTCACCTCCCCTTCCCCAGGTTGTCACCTCCCTCTCCTTCTCTTCCCCAGGTTGTCACCTCCCCCCTCCCCCCTCTTTCCCCAGGTTGTCACCTCCCTTCCCCCCTCTTTCCCCAGGTTGTCACCTCCCTTCCCCCAGGTTGTCACCTCCCTTCCCCCCACTTTCCCCAGGTTGTCACCTCCCTTCCCCCCTCTTTCCCCAGGTTGTCACCTCCCCTCCCCCCTCTTTCCCCAGGTTGTCACCTTCCCCCTCTTCCTCCATTGTTGTCACCCAGGTGTAAATAAAGTAGAGACACCCGGGGAATATTTGTGGAAACATAAAAGCTCACAGCGCCCCGTTCCTGTAATCACACATATTGATCTACACTCAATTCCAATTAGCCACACCCACTTATAATAAACCACTCCCCTATTTCCCTCTATAGTTGGCGCCTGATCTCCACGTGTATGGGGACCTCACAATCCGGAACCTTCCGCAGACACGACTCCCACCATTCCACTTACTTGGCTTTACTCTTCGCATCTGATGGGGGGGAGAAGAGAGAACATTATGTTACCATGGTGACCCCTGCTAGGAGAGGAGATACTATATATATATATACACACAATAGAGGAAGATCGGGTATATAAGGACAGGAGACAGGATGGGGTATGATGGAGGGGGGGGTCACACTCACAGCTCACAGAGGTCAGGAACATCTTCTCAGCCTCTTCTGCAACCCAAGGGCAGCAGACATGAATGGACCTTCACTTCCGGGTGTCCCACGTGTTTTTTTCCGGGTTCTGTCACGCCTCAGTAAAGATTGTGCAAAATGTGTCCTTCACGCAGGAGCCATGTTTCTGTGGCCTGGCGGCCTCCGATAACCCAAAGCGGTCTCCAGAAACATGGCCGCCGCGGTCAGCTCTCTAGTGCAAAATTTGAGTGGGAGACATCGTCCTCTAGAGGCAGGAGAAAGACAATCCAGGGAAATACATTTCTACAGATACATCTTGTAATGTTCAACTTCTAATATTGAAAATAGACTAAATGATACATTTCTAAAAACATCAAATAAATACATTCATCACGTGACTCAGGGCCATGCAGAAAAATCATATGAAACCATTTACTTACAGCTTTTATTGTTACAGATATTTATATATTTAACTGCTTATTACAGATATTTACATTTATATATCTAAATTATTTTTATTAAATGTTTAAATACTTTTTATTTTTATTATATATATTGGAGACAGGAGAATGACAGGCGGGGAAAATACATTTCTACAGATAAATATTGTAGTGTTACTCTAATAATATGTAGTAATATATACAGATATTTATATTGTTTTTATTACAAGTATATTTTTTATTTTTAATACAAATACTTATATCTAAATTATTACTATTAAACATGTTTAAATATTTTTATTTTCATTCTATATATATTCTATATATATACAATTGCGAGAAAAAGTATGTGAACCCCTTGGGATTACGTGGAGTTTTGCATGAATTGGGCATAAAATGTGCTCTGAACATCATCTAAGCCACAACAATAGAAGAACACAGTCTGCTGAACATAATACTACACAAACATTAGATGTTGCCATGGTTTAATTGCACATAACATGTAAACATTCACAGTGCAGGGAGGAAAAAGTATGTGAGGCCCTAGCTTAATGACTTCTCCCAGAGCTAATTGGAGCCAGGAGTGAGCCAACCTTGACTCCAATCAGTGTGATGATATTGGATGTGTTGCTGACACCTGTTTTGGGTTTACTGGTTTCAAGAAGCACTGTCTGATGTGAACCATGCCTCGCAGAAAAGAGCTCTCAGAAGACCTACGATCAAGAATTGTTGACTTGCATGAAGCTGGAAAGGGTTACAAAAGTATCTCCTTGAGCCTTGATGTTCATGTGTCCACGGTAAGACAGACTGTCTACAAATGGAGAAAGTTTAGCACTGTTGCTACTCTCCCTAGGCGTGGTCGTCCTGTAAAAATGACTGCAAGAGCACAGCGCAGAATGCTGCATGAGGTAAAGAAGAATCCCAGAGTGTCAGCTAAAGACCTACAGAAATCTCTGGCACATGCTAACATTTTTGTTGACACATCTACAATAAGGAAAACATGAAACAAGAATGGAGTACATGGGAGGACACCACGGAGGAAGCCATTGCTGTCCAAAAAGAATATTGCAGCACGTTTGACGTTTGCAAAAGAGCACCTGGATGTTCCACAGCACTACTGGCAAAATATACTGAGGACAGATGAAACCAAGATTGAGTTGTTTGGGAAGAACACACAACACTATGTGTGGAGAAAAAAGGCCCAGCACACCAACATCAACACCTCATCCCCACTGTGAAACATGGCGGAGGGAGCATCATGGTTTGGGGCTGCTTTGCTGCCTCAGGGCTGGACGGATTGTTGTCATTGATGGGAAAATGAATTCCAGAGTTTATCAAGACATTTTGCAGGAAAACGTACGACCATCTGTCCGCCAACTGAAGCTCCGCAGAGGATGGGTGATGCAACAGGACAATGACCCAAAGCATACAAGTAATTCAACAAAACAATGGCTGCAACAGCACAGAATACGCGTTCTGGAGTGGCCCAGTCAGAGTCCTGACCTCAACCCCATTGAAATGATGTGGCATGACCTTAAGAGAGCGATTCACACCAGACATCCCAAGAATATTGCTACACTGAAACAGTTTTGTGAAGAGGAGTGGTCCAAAATGACTCCAGATCGTTGTGCAGGTCTGATCTGCAACTACAGGAAACGTTTGGTTGAGGTTATTGCTGCCAAAGGAGGGTCAACCAGTTATTAAGTCCAAAGGTTCACATACTTTTTCCTCCCTGCACTGTGAATGTTTACATGTTATGTGCAATTAAACCATGGCAACATCTAATGTTTGTGTAGTATTATGTTCAGCAGACTGTGTTCTTCTATTGTTGTGACTTAGATGACGTTCAGAGCACATTTTATGCCCAATTCATGCAAAACTCCACGTAATCCCAAGGGGTTCACATACTTCTTCTTGCAACTGTATGTGTGTGTATATATATATATATATATATACACACACACACACACAGTATATATACACTATGTTGCCCCAAGTATTGGGCCGCTGGCCTTTCCACGCACATGACCTTTAA